GTGACCCCTCGGGGCCGACCCCTCCCCCCCCCGCAGAGCAGGCAAGCCTCCGTTGTGCGCACCGTCTGGGCCTGGCTCCCCTCTCCCGCAGAGAAGGAAAGTCCCAGCGCGTGCCTCCAGGGACTTGCGCGGTAAGTTCCCAGAATGCCAGGGAGCTGGGGCAAGGAAGCAGCTAGCGCATTTCCGGAACCCCAGAAGTGACTTCCATCCACCCCACAGGAAGTTGCCACTACCTCCATTGTTGCTTGAGCTAGGCAGTAGGGCTTCTTGGGGGTGGAGGAAAATGGGGGGCCCAGAACGCCGCACGATTGACTGGTCGAGGCCTCGGGATCGACCAGTCAATCGCGATCGACTGGTTGGTGACCACGTCTCTACAGGATTATGTATGTTATCATTCCTGATGTCTGATTTGTGTCCATTTGTCCTTTGGCATAGAGACTGTCTGATCTGGCCAATATCTACGGCAGAGGGGCATTGCTGGTACTTGATGACATATATCACATTAGTGAATGTGCAGGTGGATAAGCCATTGATGGTGTGGCTTATGTGGTTAGATCCTGTGATGATGTTGTATGTGTAGCCATGTGTACAGATTTGGCAAGAGGGTTTGTGACAGGGATAGGTTCCTGGGTAGGAGTTTTTGTGGTGTAATGTGTGGCTGCTGGTGAGTATTTGCTTTAGATTGGGGGACTGTCTGTAGGCAAGGACTGGCCTGTCTTCTCAAAGTTTGTGAGAGTGAGGGATTGTTTTCCAGGATAAGCTGTAGACTGGAGGGGTTTTAGCTGGGGGCTTTAGGTGATAACCAGTGGTTATCCAGTGGTGTTCTATTATTTTCTTTTTGGGGCATGTCCTGATAGTGATATTGCTAAATCCTAAAAATATTACATTAATCCGAACAGATAAATGAAAATTATAAATCCCGTTCTTCAAGATGCTGAGCACAACCTGACTACCACTGACATCAGTGAGAACTGAAGGTATTCAGCACATCACAAACAAAGGTTCAGATCTCAAATGTGTTTAGGTGCCGAACTTCCACTGAGGATCTGGAAGAAAGCCTCACTTGAAGTATGTGAATAGAGTAATTCCATTGACTTCAATGAAACTACTCACATGTTAGGCACTGAGCCAGAAGGGGCTAATAAGGGTGTGTGCTCTCAATCAGCCCACCTTGCTACACCTGCAGTATGTCTTCAGCCTGGAAAGGGTGAGTAGAAAAAGGCTGAATCACAGAATCATCGAATACTAGAACTGGAAGGAACCTCAAAAGATAATCAAGTCAAGTCCCCTGCCCTTATGGCAGAATCAAGCATGATCTATCTCAGGCCTAGGCAAAATACGGCCTACGGGCCACATCCAGCCCACCAAGCTACTGGATTCAGCTTGCGGAGATAGTGGGGAGCCCAAGGCAGGCTCCCCTGCTTGCCCCGCAGCCCCACATGCCGCTCAGAATCACTGCTGCGGGGAGCTTTCTCTTTGAGTCCAGAGGAGAGGGGGAAGATTCAGATGCTGCTCCTGCCTCCAACACAATCCCATTGGTCGGTTTCTGGACAGACACTGGCCAATGGGAGCTGCCTGTTTGAATAACAGGCAGCCACGAAGCACAACCCTCCTGCTCAGTTACTTACTCAAGCACATGGCCAAGTAGGCAGAAACATTTTAAGCTCTGCAAACCTTTAGCTCTACAGGCAGGCTGCTTTGGCTGTTGTCTGGTAAGACGCCTGGTGAGAACCTGCCTCTGGCACCTCAGCCCCTCCTTTCCCCAACCCTTTTCCCCACACTCCTGCCCCGCTACTCTACATGAACCCATACCTGCTCCAGATGTGGCACCCCAATCTCGTGCCCAGGATTGCAATCCCCTCCTACCCTAGGTCATGTCACAAAACCCTGCACCCCAGTTCCCTGCCCTAGGTCACAACTGCCTCCATACTCCATTCTCCCTGCTGCACCCCAATCCTTTAATCCAAGCTCCCTTCTGCACCCAAACTCCATACCAGACCCCACACCTCCTCCATTAATAGCATGGAAGAGTGTGGCCTTCTACCACTTTCCAAAATCTTGGGAGTGGCCCCCCCATCAAAAATTATTGCCTGCCCCTGGTCTATATAATTCTGTATAACCTGCTCTTAAATATCTCCAGTGATGGAAAATATACAACCTCCCTAGGCAATTTATTCCAGTGTTTAACCACTCTGACAGTTAAGGAAGTTTTTCCTAATGTCCAACCTAAACCTCCTTTGCTGCAGTTTAAGTCCATTACTTCTTGTCCTATCATCAGAGGTGAAGGAGAAAAATTTTCCACCTCCCTCCTGGTGACACCCTTTTAGATACCTGAAAACCGCTATCATGTCCCCTCTCAGTCGTCTCTTTTCCAAACTAAACAAACCCAATTCCTTCAGCCTTGCCTCATAGCTCATGTTTTCTAGACCTTTAATCATTTTTGTTGCTCTTCTCTGGACCTTCTCCAATTTCTCCACATCTTTCTTGAAATGTGGTGCCCAAAACTGGACACAATACTCCAATTGAGGCCTAATCAGTACAGAGCAGAGGAGAAGAATTACTTCTCATGTCTTGCTCACAACACTCCTGTTAATGAACTCAGCATTGGTGAAGGCTGATTAAGAAGGAGAGCAAATCTCTTCCTGAGTGAGAGAAACTGCCATCATTCTAGCCAGGTGATCTAGATTGCTAATAGATAAAGCCTCCCTGAAGTTAGATAGGTAGGCCAGCAGCCCTGCCTGCAACAGGCAGCCCAAAATGGTTGTGGAAGAAAGTAAGAGGAAGTGGTTTTTGCCCAGGATTCTATCGGTTGGAGGAGGCATGTCAAAGGAGCAGAAATATTCCTGCTAAATTAGAGAGAGTACACTGCCAGAGGTACAGAGAGAATTCTTGTGCAGGAGAACCAACAGTATAAGAAAACATCATTTGTATGGCCTGAAAATATATATTAATTCAATCTTACTGCACAACTTTCTACTAATATTAGACTAGACTATAAGGTAATTAAATTAAGTTCCCTAAAATGTAAGTTCCCTAAATAGAAATATATATCAAAACATTGCATTCAGCTTTTTAATCACCACCTAATGTACTACCTGACTGAATGTGACTTTCAACAAATAGTGAAACAGCTGACCAAAGTCTCTTGTTTTCTGGGCATACCTGATACTCTGAATCCATCTTGTGTTGCATTTCCCTCACATACTGAGCATCACTGATGAACTTCTGTCTTTCTCTTGAGTCATACATTACAGTAGTTAACCAGAACCTGCACATAAAGCAAATATGTCTTCTTAAAGACCAATTTTTGTCTCACTACTTCAGTTTTGCTATGCTTTAATTGTCTTTTCTCTGTGTGTTAATTACTGTCTGGTAGTAGAGAGATGCTCCTGTCTAAAGAAACCACTGACATGTTAGGGCTGGCTTTCTTATAGCCTTTCCTTACTAATTATAGAGTAACCAACCACCTTGAACAAACTGGTTCTGGACATTAGCAGGAAATTGCTCCAAACTTGCTACACTATGATCTGGTACAGCAGTAATTCTATAGAAAGCAACAAGCAAGTTGATAAAGGTAAATTATATATTAATGTAGGATTGTATCAATCAAAACATATTAAGAATGGAAAGCTTAAATTAGTTGTCTCTGTGCAATTACTAGAATCTAATGATTATTTCTCAAATCTGTACTGAATGATTATTTCTCAAATCTCTACTGGAGCCTGATTCTGCAATTTGTAACTGTCAGTGTGTTCAACACCACATAGGAGGTTATTAGCACCTTGTAGGACATTTTCACTTTCCCATCCACCAGTCCAAGCTCTGGCAGCAAAGTACAAAGGTACATGGATTTCTATGACTATGGCCAGGTCTACAATACAGCTGCACGTCAGCTTAAGTTACATAGTTCCAGCTAAGATAAAAGATGTAGCTGGAGTCACAGTACCTTAAACCAAGCTTTGGTGCCATGCTCACAATGGGAGGTCAATGGGAGAAATGCTCCCGTTGACTTCCCTTACTCCTTGTGAAGAATAGGAATTCTGGTGTCCAGGTGAATTCCAACATCAACGGGAGCACCCTCAGCGTTCAATTTAGTGGGTCTTTAGCGGGTCTTTACTAGACTCACTAAATTGAATGCCGGATCAACCACTGCAGCTTTAATCTTCTCCGTAGTCTAGATGGAGCCTATATGAGAAAAAACTAAATGTGAACCTGATAGAGTTAAGAAGTCACTAGAAGAGACTCCTATACTTTTCATAATCATCATCCTGCCTTGGTTTGGCATGTAACCTGATAGAATTTTTGCTCATGGTTATGGTCCTCATTTTACCTTAAACTATAATAAATTTGCCATTGTAGAAATTTTCTATAACTTTTAGATTTGCCTCTGTATATAACTGGATTATTGCTATATGGAAAACAGGAAAAATAGAGCTCACTTCAAGTAGTTGAAGGCTGCTATCAAATCCCCTCCCTCTCTTCTCTTCTGCAGACTAAATATAGTAAAACCTGTGTTATCCAGCACTTAACTATCCAGAAAACTTTAGAAACTGGCAAATTTCCAAGGGGCTTTGATCTGGCCAGCCAGGAACTGGGCTGGGCAGCTGGTGGCCCCTACGGCACGAGGGTTGCAGCTCCATACAGGGACCCTCAGATAACCGGAATTTTTAGACAACCGGAATGCCCTAATCCCCAGAACGCCCTAGTCCCTGAGACAACACAGGTTTTACTGTAAACCCAGATCCCTCAGCCTCTCCTTGCACGTCATGCGCTCCAACCCCATAATCATTTTTGTTGCCCTCTGCTGGACCTTCTCCAATGTATCCACATCCTTTCTGTAACGGGGGACCCAGAATGGGACACAATTCTCCAGATGTGGCCTCACCAGTGCCAAATAAAGGGGAATAATCACTTCTCTAGATCTGCTGGCAATGTTCCTAATGCATCCCAATATTCCATTAGCCTTCTTGGCTACAAGGGCACACTATTGGCCATCTTAGCTCTGTCCCACCTCACACTATATTTAAGTCTGTATTATAAAGGGTGAGCCTACACAGCATCCTAAACTCAAAATAAGATATCCACTCACCCCTCCCTAACCCACTTTCCTGATGTCAAATAAAATACACGTGTTTTCCAGAGCACAAACTCTCTTTATTTAACAACACTGGGGGAGGGGGGAATGAAACTCTGGTGAGACTGGGGAAAGGAGGCGGAAGAAGGGAAGAGAGAGGGTAGGAAAGGGAAGGAGGAAACCTGGGAGGAGGGAGCTGGAAGGGGGAAGCAAGGGGAACAAGGGGAAGGGGAAGCTCAGTGCTCAGGGTTGGGGTTCTCGCTGGGCCAACTGTCTCCCAGCAACGCGGGTGAAGGGGCCTCAGCATCCCCAGGGGGATGGGGAGGGAATGGAGAGTGGGGAGGGTGTGAAGGGAGAAGCGGGAGAGGGAGGAGGAGTGGGAGGAGGAGTGGTAGCTGGGGAAGCAGCAGGCGCTGGAGCAGCAGGAGGTAGCACGCTCTGCACCAGGGTCTGCAGGTGTTAGCAGATGGCACGGCCCTGGGCAAGCTGCTCCTACCGGAGCTGCAGGTCTTCTTGCACCCAGTGCTGGAGGGTGCGGTGCAGGGCTCACAGTGCCCCCAGCTGCTGCTGTTGGTACCCCCTCCACTGCACGGGAGCCCTTAGGTGCGGGAGCATGTCCCAGGTGGTATGGAGTGCCCTGCATGCACAGCTGGTGCGGCTGTGGAGCAACAAGAGAAGTGGTCAGTTATCCCTGGGGACACAGTGGGTGAAACCCAGTCCCCCCGTCCCCCGCAAGGTGAGGATGACCATTTCCTGCACCATCAGAGACGATGTGCTTGCACAGAGGCCATGTTTGGAATGTCATGCTATCCCCAGGAATGGGAGCTGCCCCAAGACCGCACCCATGCCCCTGTGTTGTATATAGTGTGGGTAGAGTGGGGGGAGATGTCCCCTGCTTCTGTGTAGAGTAGTCTTGTGGAGGGAGGGCGTCCTGCTGTGTCCCGCCCTGGAATCAGGAGAATGTCATGCCTCTTCACACACGCATGTGGCTAACAGCGTAATGCCCCTGTGTAGCAACCGGCTGGGGCTACATGCCCGGGGTGGCATGGCACATGCTCGCACATGCACAGGTTGCTGTGTGATCTGTGGACAGCAAGGCCCACACACGCAGTCCCTGGTTTCCGTTCTCTCCCCTCCCTCCCACATAAGGGTTCAGTGATGGCACTCACCGGTTGCCTCCCTGGCCTCGGATGGCGACATGTCCTCTGGGAAGGCTCGGAGGTCCTGGCTGATCAGCATGCTCTGTCTGGTCTGCTGAGGCTCCTGGCTCTTTTCCTCCTCCTTGATGCCCTGGTCAAGGCCCTCTGCCCCAGGGTTGATGACCACCTGGCGGGCATGGACTGTCCCGCCCCCCAGGATATTGTCCAGGGTGTTGAAATAGGGGCAGCTTGGTGTATGTGCCCCTGGTTGGGAGCTGTTCCCTGTGGCCTTGGCATATGCCTGCCGAAGCTCTTTTATATTCATCCGCACCTGTTCCTGGGTGCGGATGCGGCCTTTGCTGGTAATGCTGGCAGCTATCCTGCCATAGACAGCTGCATTCTTCCATCTCGTGCAGAGATCATGGACATTGGAGGATTCCCTCTAAACCTGAATGAGGTCCATGATCTCCGCACTGGAACAGGAAGGTGCCCGCCTTTTCTGGCCCCTGGCAGGCTCCTGGAAGCTGGCAGACTAGTCCTGGGGAGCGGTGGAGAGCTGACTGCAGGTGGCTTGATGGCTCATATTGGGGCCACTGGGTCAGGGGCAGGACTGACTGTTTGTTGGGCTGGCAGGCTTGGAGCTGGCACGGGCACTGTGGCCAGACTCTACCCCTTAAAGAGCTCCGGGGGGGAGGGAGAAGAGTTTTCTTGGTTGAGGCCAGAGTAGCCAGCAGGGCACCCTGGGAAGGGCTGGAGGCCCTCTATTTCAAAATAAGCATCTACATAGAGCTTATTTCGAAATAGAAATTTCAAAATTGACGTTATTCCACACGGAATGAGGTTTACCAATTTTGAAATAAACCCTCCGCTATTTTGAATTAATTTCAAAATAGCAGTTGGCTTGTATAGACACTAGTAAAGTTATTTTGAAATAACAGCTGTTATTTTGAAATAACTTTGCTGTGTAGACATACCCTAACATCGGTTAACTTCTTAATTCACACTGGTGCTCCATTGTGCTAGTTGCTATTCAGACACCTAATGAGAAAGAGACCCTGTATCAAAGAGCTTATTTACACTATATAGTGGGAGGGAAACAGACACACAAAAAGATGAAGTGCTTTGTCCAAGGTCACATAGCAAGTATTACCAAGACAGGACATTAAACAAGATTTCCAGCTTAGTTTCCTACCCACTGGACCATACTACCCCCAAAATGTATTCAAAAACTTAGATTACTTCAAACTAAATAAAAAAAGAAGCAGCAGCACAGTAATGTACAAGAAAGTCATACTGACTAGGTCTAAATCAGCATGTACAGATTTCTGGAGGGCATGTAAGCTGATCACCCTGTACAGAGAGCTGCATTCAAGACATCAGTGTAAATTATATGAGGTAAATTAATGGAGAATTATTGAGAGAAATCACTAGTGATAGTAAAAGCTCACAAACTATTAAAAATGATGTAGCCATCTACTGCAGAAAATGTGTGAGACAAAGTTTTCTTAAAAAACAACAAATAGTCTAGTAGCACCTTAAAGACTAACAAAACATGTAGATGGTATCATGAGCTTTCATGGGCACAACCCTCTTCTTTAGGGCTATGTCTAGACTGCAAGCCTCTTTCGAAAGAGGCTTTTTCGAAAGATGCTTTCGAAAAAGCCTCTTTCGAAAAAGAGCGTCTAGACTGCAAGCGGAACTTTCGAAAAAGCAAGCCGCTTTTTCGAAAGAGCACCCAGGCAGTCTGGATGCTCTCTTTCGAAAAACCCCTGTTTGCATTCAAGAACGCCTTTTTTCGAAAGAGCACTTTCGAAAAAAGGCATTCTTCCTCGTGAAATTAGGTTTACCGCTGTCAAAAGAAAAGCCGCGTTCTTTCGATTGAACGCGGCTGCAGTCTAGACGCAGGTGAAGTTTTTTTTGAAAAAAGGCTACATTTTTCGAAAAAAAACCTGAGTCTGGACACAGCCTAGATGACAGGAGTGTTAGAAGTCCAGATAAGGGGGAGGGGGGGAGGAAGAGAAGGAAAAAAAGAGAAAAAAAAGGAGGGGAGTAAGAAAAAAAAGAAAAACGTGAGTTTTTTCTTCCTCCCCTCCTTTTTTCCTTCTCCCTCCTCTCCTTCCCCCACCCCCTCCCCCCTTTCCCTTATTTATTCTTGGATCTGGACTTCTAACAATGCTGTCATCTGAAAAAGAGCGTTGTGTCCATGAAATCTCATGATACCACCTACATGTTTTCTTAGTCTTTAAAGTGCTACTAGACTGCTGTTTAAGTTTTTCCTGTTACAGACTAACTCAACTATTCCTCTAAAGTTTTCTTAAAATGACAAAGGCAATGACAAAGGCAAACAAGGGTCCTCAAATAGAAAATGGATGCTCTGAAAATAGAAATAAAATGAAGTTCAAATACTCAGTGCAGAGATAATCAAGGACATCAAGAACTCTAACAACTGTGGGTCAGGCAGCAACCATTGTGAATCTGCTGTCTTCTGACCTAACCCATTTCACATCTGTTAAGAGAAAAGAAAAATAACATTAGCCAGATTCAGCTAACAAGATGGATGACATACAATTATTCGATGTTTGAAAATATCTGAGAAACATGACAACAGGTCCAAAAGGTTTTGAAGATGCATATTACATTAATTGAAAGAAATGCTACTTCTTTCAGAAGAGTTGACAGATGTCATCAAATAAGGCAGGCAAAGAATGTGTGGAGTCCAGACAATAAATTATATACCTGTAAATCTTGTTCTGTGACAGGTATAATGTATTCTTGTTAATGTTTTGTGTGGTCCATCACATACAATAAACACAGGCAATCTGTGAGAACATCTTAGATAAAACAGTTTCACTCTCAAGTTTCCCATGATGTCATAAAACCTCATAATGTGCATATATACATTGTTTCCCTCTGTATAATTGATAAACTGTAAAGTAGCCAGGCAAAATGAAAACAAATGAATCTCAAGCATTGTTACAGGCTGGGGACTGAATGGCTAAGTAGAAGTTGTGCAGAAAAGGACCTGGGGATTATAGTGGATGAGAAGCTGGATACGAGTCAACAGTGTGCCCTTGTAGCCAAGAAGGCTAATGGCATATTAGGGTGCATTAGGAGGAGCATTGCCAGCAGATCTAGAGAAGTAATTATTCCCCATTATTCGGCTCTGGTATATTGTGTCCAGTTCTGGGCCCCCATTATAGAAAGGATATGGACACATTACAGAGGGGCCAGCAGACGACCAAAATTATTAGGGGGCTTGTGCGCATGACCTATGAGGAGAGGCTGAGGGATTTGGGTTTGTTTAGTCTGCAGAAGAGAAGAGTGACGGGGGATTTGATAGCAGCCTTCAACTTCCTGAAGGGAGGTTCCAAAGAGGATAGAGAAAAGCTGTTCATAGTAGTGACGGATGGCAGAACAAGGAGCAATGGTCTCAGTGGGGGAGGTCTAGGTTGGATATTAGGAAAAACTATTTCACTAGGAGGGTGGTGAAGCACTGGAATGGGTTACTTAGGGAGGGGGTAGAATCTCCATCCTTAGAAGCTTTTAAGTCTCGGCTTGACAAAGGCCTGGATGGGTTGATTTAGTTGAGATTGGTCCTGCCTTGGGAAGGGGCCTGGACTTGATGACCTCCCGAGGTCTCTTCCAGGTCTCTGATTCTAAGGCATAAAGGATCTGTCGACGAAGGGTTCTGGGGTCGGTAGATCCCCGTCTAGACTGCCACGCTGTGCCAACAAACAGCTGATCGGCACAGCGTGGTGGTCATTTTTATTTAAATGAAGCGGCGATTATTTAAATCGCTGCTTCATTTCCCTTTGTCGTCCTGCCTCATCTACATGGCTCCGTCGACAGAGCCATGTAGTCTAGACACACCCTAAATGTCTCTGTCTGTATGCTAGGACCTAGACAAGAACCATCACAATGTACAGCACCAGCTAGTTTTCTGTTGGCAATCTCAGAAAAGGAACCAAACCTCCAACGCTCATCTAGCCCTGATCTACGCTAAGCAGTTATTTTGAAACAACTTCCCTTATTTGAAAATAACAAGCAAAGTGTCCACCCTACAAAATCCTTAATTTCAAAATATTTTGAAATAATAACTCCAGCTTTTCATGAGGAATAACGCTTATTTCAAAATTGTTATTTCGAAATAGTGTGAGTTGCTCGAAAAAGCCTGGATGCTAAGCTGCTGCTATTTTGAAATAATTGACCTCCAGAGGCCTCTCACAGCTGCACTGGTGGCCACTCTGGCCACATCTGACAACTCCAGTGCTCCCCTTCTCCTGCAGAGTTTAAAGCAGCAGGCAGAAGGGGAAAGGTGGTGGCATGAAGAGAACTTTGCCCAGCCCCATGCCACACAGCACTCATTGCTGGAGCCACAAGTGATCCCAGCACTCCTCTGCACCCCCACGGCTACCAGCACTCCGGCAGCACCCTCAGACATCCCTGGCCAGGGACGAAAGAGGGCAGCGATCTTGGACCTCATCAAGGTCTGGAAGGAGGAGACCAACCTCCAGGATGCCCGCACCAGGAGGAGGAATGCAGATGTTTATACCCGGATGGCTGCCAGTCTAGTTGAAAAAAGGACATATGTGGACCCTCAATCAGGTCTGCATGAAAATCAAAGAACTCTGGCAGGCCTACAACAAGGCCAGGGAGCAAAATACATGCTCTGGGACGGCTCCTCATACCTACTGCTACTAGCAGCAGCGGGATGCCATCCTGGGAGAGGAGGGGCTGTTCATAACCCCTCCCGTTGTCATTGATTCTGGCCAGGACATGACCGGCGTCAGCCTCTACAAGGGCGGGGTTGTGGAGGAGGATGACAACAAGAAGGAGAAGGAGGAGGCCAGCCAGAACACCACGCCTGCCAGCCAGGAGCTGCTCCTTATCCTGGAGCTAGTCTCCACCTCTCACGATGTTTCCCAAGCCTGTGTGCATCTTTTGGAAGAGGCAGGAGTTCTGGAAGATGTAGGCATCATGCACCTTCTCTGACCAGCCAAAATTAATGTCTGTGAACCGTCCCTTGTGGTCCACCAGGACTTGCAGCACCATAGAAAAGTACCCCTTTCTGTTGATATAGTCCCAGGCATGATGGTTGAGGGCCAGGATGGGGATGTAAGTCCCCCCCCCCCACAAACACAGTTGGGGAAGCCCATGGCAGTAAAGTCATCCTTGATGGGGTCAACATTGCCCAGAGTGATGACACTCCGCAGCAAAATGTTGCTGATGGCCTTGACTACCTGCAGGAGCCCAGCCCCGACCGTGTATTTCCCCACAACGAACTGGTTCCCGATGGAGCAGTAGCTGCCCAGCATGGTGAGTTTCCAAAGGGCAATCGCAACGCTCTGCAGAGGGATGGCAGGTCTCAGCCGGGTGTCTCCTAAGGGCAGGGGTGAGCCATTTGCAGAGCTCGAGGAAGGTGGCCTTCCACATGCAGAAGTTCTGGAGCCACTGCTAATCATCCCATCACTGCAGGACGACGCAGGCAGTACTGGTCTCCGTCCTCCAGAAGCGGCATTCCACAGTGAGCAGGGGATTGAGCATCATTTGCTGCAGCAGGAGCACCAGGGCCTAGGTGAAGAGGTCCTCTAGTTGGGACTGGTTGTCATCGTGCTGAAGCAGCAAGTGGGCAGTTTGGATGCCTTACAGCAGCTCCAGCTCCATGTTGGAAGTGCTGTGGCATCCTCATGGGCAACCAGAGCACATGGCATGAGTTTGGTGTCCCACGAGGGGGCAGGCAGTGGAGGAGTGGCGTGTGAGACATGGCTGTAGACAGGAGCATTTCAGGTACGTGTTTCAGTTAGCCTCAGCCACAGGAAGTGTTCACCCTCCTGGTGTCCTCCCCGGAGTGCTTCCGGGGGATTTAAATCCAATCAGGCTTCAATCAGCGTGGATGCGCTATTTCAAAATAATTCTGAGCTATTTCGATGCTGCCTTGTAGTATGGATACACTATTTCAAAATTATTGTTTCAGAAGTTATTATTTTGAAATAATTTGCTAGCGTAGACATGCTTCTCTGCACAAAACTTAATCCAGAATAAGAATTTAAGGCAGAACAGCTATTTCTGATTCACTCCATGTGTGGATGGGCTTTCATTGTGGAATACAAGTGCTTTATTCTGAATTAACTGTAATCCATTAAATAAATCCAGAATAAGAATGCACACATGGAGTGAATCCAAAATAGCTATTCAAGAATAATGTTAACAAGTATCAGAAGTGTAGCTGAGGGGTAGCCGTGTTAGTCTGAATCTGCATAAACAATGAGAAATTCTCTCTAGCAATTATACACCACACCACAGTAACTCTAACTCAGGAACCAATTCCTGCAACAAACCTCGGTGCCAACTCTGTCCACATATCTACACCAGCGACACCATCACAGGACCTAACCACATCAGCTACAACATCACAAGTTCATTCACCTGCACATCTACCAATGTAATATATGCCATCATGTGCCAGCAATGCCCCTCTGCCATATACATTGGCCCACCGGATAGTCCCTACGTAAAATGAACAGTCACAAATCCAGAATCAGTAATGGTAACATACAAAAACCTGTAGGAGAAAACTTCAGTCTCCCTGGACACACAGTAGCAGATTTAAAAATAGCCATCCTGCAACAAAAAAAACCCTTCAAAAACAGACTCCAAAGAGAAACTGCAGAGCTACAATTCATTTGCAAATTTGACACTATCTAGTTAGGATTGAATAAAGACTGTGAATGGCTAGCCAACTACAAAAGCAGTTTCTTCTCTTTGGTGGTCACACCTCCACATCAGCTGCTAGAAGTGGGCCACATCCTCCCTGACTGTATTGACCTCATTATCTCTGGTCTTTCTCTTGATTTGTACTCCCTTATTTTCATGTGCCTGTATATTTATACCTGCCTCTGGAATTCCTATTACATGCATCTGATGAAGTGGGTCTTTGCCCACGAAAGCTTATGCTCCAATAAATTTGTTAATCTATAAGGTTCCACAGGACTTCTCATTCCCTATGAGAAGTCCTCTGTGTAGAGAAGCTGTATGTGAACTACAAGGAACAGAGCTATCTTTTTATTCCTATAGATCAAGGCTGAAATATATTGAAAGGACAGAGTAGAGAATTTAAACCAATGCTGCTCGGGCCATATCTCTTCAGTAATTAAAAAGAGATGTTCAGAGTATTATATTATTTCTCCCACACGAAGTAGTGATGATTTTTCAGAACTATAAAGAGGATACAGGGATTTATTTTAATGGTGAAATTATCAGAAATAAGAATATACTTGCTACCTGTAAATAAACTTCATATGCTCATGCAGGTTGAACCTCTCTAGTCCAGCACTCTCTGGTCCAGCAACATCCATAGTTCAGCATGATTTTAGTTAGCCAAATGTTCACTTATTATGGGTATTCCCAAGTTTCCCACAGTCTCATAAAGTTTGTTTACAGACACCAGTCCTGGCTCTCAGTGTTGTGTGTTGTTATTTAGCTCTAATTTATCCCTAAATGTCTTTTAAGAGCCCAGTAAGCAGGGGAAGTGTTGGTAATGCTACTAGCCAATACTGACCTCCCATGGTTTCACAAATTCTCTGGTCCAGCATCAGTCAGGTCCAGCATCAGTCAGGTCCTGAGGGTGTCGGACTAGAGAGGTTCAACCTGTAATTATTACACATGACATTTTAACTTATATAGCTTCCCACCTTCAGAATTCTCTCTCAATTTAAAATGCACCTACTGCTGTATTCACTGCAGCCCCTTGTCCTGAATGCTAGTATAGTGGACTGTATTGATTCGCTGAAGGCAAATCGTGTTCACAATTAATAACAGAAGGGAAGGGACAAGGAAAGAGGGGAGGGAAGGGAAGAGAAAAAGAAGGGGCATGGGAAGATTATTAAAGAAGAAAGAAAAATGGGAAAGGGAATGCAAAGTTAGAAACCATGGTTCTCTCCTATAAACATTCCGTTTACCTAGGCATTTTCAATTACTTAATATTCTAAGAACTCTGACACAAACAGAATATTTTTCTGTTACATAATTCAGGTACATTTTCTGAAGTTATTCTCTAAGGGCAAATTCAGCTTTTATACCATGATAAAACCAGCCACTCTGCAAAAGTTAGTCTGGATTACAATTGTAATGAGACCAGAAGTTATCTGACGTATTTCTTTGTCTGCATTTGGGGCCTGATCCTAAAGACAAAGGAAACTTTACTTATATATTTAGGATTTGTCTTACTCTTTGACTCAAGAGTAATAGCAGTGGAGTCAAGTACCTTTTCTTTCAAATAAATTGATCATTGAACTTTTTGTGGTTCTCGGAGTTGTCAACATCTTAATTTCAGCAAGAGTCTAAAAAAAACCCAAATATTGCTAAAGAACCACCTTCTGGAGGCCTGTAACTAAGTGAGAATTTCAGCTTTCATTATTAAAAAATCAACACCACTTTTTTAGCTTTACAGTTGTGGATGAAAGAGATTGAAAAAAATGGCAAAAGAACACCCTAAATGCTCAGAAACTGTAAGGCAAATAGAAAGAATATCACTGTTTTAGTTTAATTTTATAAATTTAAGCCAATCTTACAGGCTTTGGATATTAATATGATTTTGGAGGTAATCGTGCTGGGTATTAATATTTCTGTAAGGAGGAGGGAAACCACACAGTTTGATAGCTGTATACTGACATAAACAGTACACTGTATTATGTTGGGAGGGTTGTTTGACTATCTTTATTCATTTCATTTCCTATACATTCTAAGCCTCAAATCCCTTAGGGTACATCTACACAGCTGGGCTAAACTTGAATTAAGATACTTAACTTCAGATACATCAATTGCATAGCTTAACTCGTCTTTTGGTTCTGTCTACATAGCAGGAAGATGAAGGAAGAACACTCTTCCTTCAACTTCCCTTACTCCTCAGGAAATGAGAGTTACAGGAGTCTGAGTAACAAGTCCTCCAGCTTGACATTATTTCGAAATAAAGGCCTGTAGTGTAGATGCGCACTATGTTATTCTGGAATAATATTAGTTATTCCAAAATAATGATTCTGTGTAGACATACCCTTACATGGGAGTGAATGGAACTACACACATGAGTATGAACTATTAGGATGAATAAGGTTTGTAGTGTGCTTTGGTTCTGCAATTGGGATGCTGCACTAAAAGAAATTAAAATATTGTGAAATCTGTGCTAATCATAACCTGTCCTAATGCCAAATCTCTGCAGAAGTTCCTCCATATTAATCACTCTCTATTATGGAGCCATCTGTTACAACACCCAGAAACGTAGCGGACCATTGTGAGGGACAGTAAAAATAGTCTTCACTTCAATAGAAAACTCAGTTAATGATAAAGAAGCAGAAACATACACTGGGTAGAGAAAAGTAGGAGGCAAATTCACAAGAAAATTATTTAACACTTAGAACCAGTGTCAGGCTTGAACAGACACAAATGAGACCATAGCTCCAGCCTTCCAAGATGATAAGTGCTCTTGGCAACATTTATGCCAACATATAACTGTAAATCTCCACGGTCATCACTGAGCCCACTCCGCTGCTTGTACAATCCCATTCATAAAGTTCCACTTTAAAAGTACTCAGGTTGGTTTGCCACTGCTGCTCCTGGAAAACTGTTTCAGAACATCCCACGTCCTCCTGCCCACTCAGCCGCGAACATCGCACCTTCCATAAAAAGCCCAAATCAAACACCCCTCTTCTAGGCTGGATCACGGGGTGGGTGACTGCTGTGACTGCCTCCTCGGATGAGCTCACACTCTCCTGTCTTAGAGATTCCCTGGACTTCTCCCAAGGAGTGTATCTGGAATACTGGGAACGCGGGGCAGGGATGCTGATGGAGAGCCCTGCTCAAAAAGGGGCGCTTTGGGAGGAGGTGGGGGGGGGTCTGCCCACAAGGGGGCGCCTCTCTGAGGCACTGAGGGAAGAGCTGCTGTGGGGCAAGGGAGGGCCTGTGTCCAACGTGCCGTTCCCGCTGGAAGTACAGGCAGGGCCCCCCCTGACGGGACGCTGGGGCCCAAGGGATGCGTTAAGGAGGCTCCCCCAAGCGCTGGAGATGGGGGGGGGTTTCCCCAAGGGGAGGGGGCAGAGGGAGTTGGGGAGGGGAAGGGCGGGGTCTCCCCGCCGGGGGTGCTCGGGGCAGGAG